TTTTTTTATTATACCAGGGATGCTAATGTCTGTAATCAAGATCTTTGTATCCTCACTAGCCACTGGAGAGGTCCTGGAGACTGGCGAGTATAAAGTTAATGGCAGGACCCTGAACAGCACTATGTACAGAGGGATCTTGGGTTCAAGTCCATAATACCCTGAAAGTGGCCACGCAAGTAGATAGGGTGGTAAAGATGATACATGGCATGCTTGCCCTTATTGATTGGGGAACTGAGTACAAGAGTCAGGATGCCATGGTGCAGCTGACTACGACTTTGGTTAGGCCACACTTAGAATATTGCATTCAATTCTGGTCGCCACATTACAGGAAGGTTGCGGAGGCTTTGGAGAAGGTGCAGAAGAGGTTTACCAGGATGACGCCTGGATTAGAGGGTATGAGCTATAAAGAGAGGCCAGAAAAACCAGGGTTGTTTTCTCTGGAGTTGTAGAGGCTGAGGGGAGACGTGATGGAAATCTATAAAATTATGAGATGCATAGATAGGGTTGACAGTCAGAATCTTTTCCCAGAGTTGAGAAGTCTAATACTAGGCATGTATTTAAGGTGAGAGGGGGCAAGTTTTTTTTTAACACAGTGATAAGAGTCTAGAACACACTGCCAGGGGTGGTGGTGGAGGCAGATAGAATAGAGGCGTTTAAGGGACTTTTAAATAAGCACATGAACATGCAAAGAATGGACAGATATGGACCAAGGGCAGACAGAAGGGATTAGTTTAATTTGGCATTGTGGCACAACATCGTGGGCCGAAGGGCCTGTTCCTGTGCTGTACTGTTCTATGTTAACACAGGGGCAAGCTAATCTCTGTAATATACACAGGGACTGAATTTCTCAATTATACACAGGGGCTGCTAAAATCTTTATTATACACAGGGAATACTAATTTCTAATATCAGAAATCACATGACACCAGGTTATAGTCCAGCAGGTTTATTTGAAAACACAAGCTTTCAGAGCCTCGCTCCTTCAAGTGTAAGTGAGAGGGGTGGCATCAGACACAGAATTTATAAGTAAAAGATCAAAGGGTCACATCACTGATGAGGATGTATTAAACAAACCTAAGATGCTGTTAAATCGTTAATCAGTCAGTAGGTTTTAATTGATTAATATGTACATGTAAATCCCCGAATTTCTTTCAAGTCACTGCCCTGAAAGAACTAAAAGTTTTATCAGTGTAAAGGTGATGATATTTTAGGTCAGACAATGCATGTTAGGTGTGAGGCCTTGTTTAGAATCCGTTTGTGTTTTGGTTTGGAGTCAGACTGGTTCTATTTCTGAAGTAGGAATTTATAAAACGCCACATTGACTGTCTATAAATTGCATGCTGTTTGAACAAAATAAAATGTACCTGCAAATACAAATTCACCCCATAGGTTTACGTCTGTGTGCACGCGCGCATGTGTGTGTGTAAGGGACAGAGTGTGGGAGAGGGGGGAGCAGAGAGTGAGTGAGTGAATGAGTGAGTGTGAGAGAGAGTGAGAGAGAGAGAGATAGAGAGGTGTGTGTATGACAGAGAGTGAGTGTGTATGACAGAGAGAGAGACTGTGTGTGCGTGTGTGTGTGTGTGTGTGTGTGTGTGTGTGTGTGTGTGTGTGTGTGAGAGAGAGAGAGTGAGAGAGACAGAGGATCTGTGTGAGATTGTGTGTTTGTTTGCATGAGTGTTAGAGAGTGTATAGTGTGGTGGGGTTACCTGTAATGCGACATGAACCCAATATCCCCGTGCAGGCTGTCCTAATGGCTACTGAACTTGGCTGTCAGCCTCTGTTCGGTGACTCTGCATTGTTGTGTATCCGAAGTCCACCTTGGAGAACCAGTCTGACTCCAAACCAAAACACTAACAGTTTCTAAAGAAGGCCTCACACCTAACATGTATTGTCTGACCTAAAACATCACCTCTTCTTTACACTAATAAAACCTTTAGTTCTCTCAGGGCAGTGACTTGAAAGAAATTCAGTGATTTACAATTACACATTAATCAATTAAAAACTTCTAACTGATTAAAGATTTAACAGCATCTTAGGTTTGTTTAATACATCCTCCTCAGTTGTGTGACCCTTTGATCTTTTACTTATAAATTCTGTGTCTGATGCCACCTCTCTCACTAACACCGAAAGGAGGAGTAAGGCTCCAAAAGCTTGTGTTTTCAAATAAACCTGTTGGACTATAACCTGGTGTCGTGTGATTTCTGAGCTTTTCCACTCCAATCTCAACTATGCACATGGACCATAAATCTCTGTAAAATGCACATGAATTCCCAGTTCCTGTAATATACACAGGGGCTTCTTATCTCTGCAGTTTGAACAGGGGCTCCTAATCTATTTATACAGAGGGTCTCATAATCTCTGAAATATACACAGTGACTGCTAATTTCTACATATACACAGGATGCTAGTCTGAATTATACACACAGGATTCTAATCTCTGAATTATACACATGGACTGCTAATCTCTGTAACATACACAGGGACTGTGAATTGTTGCATTTGACACAGATTGCTAATCTCTATAATACACACAAGGGCTGTTAATCTCTGTAATACACAGGGACAGCTAATCTCTCTAATATACACAGGGACTGTTCATGTCTGTAATTTACACAAAAACTGCTAATTGCTGTAATATAGACAGGGACTGAAAATCTCTGTAAAATACACAGGATTGATGATGTCAGTGTAATATACAGGGAACACTGTTCTCTGTAATATAAACACAGGTACTGCTGTTCTCCGTGATGTACACACAGGGACCGCTGTTCACTGCAATATACACACGAGCTGTTAATCATTCATTTACATAGGAATTGCAAAATTTCATTTTCACATCGCCTGCCACTCCCTATAATATACAGAGGATTTGATATTTTCTCTCAACAGTATTGTCAACTCAGCTAGGGGTAGATTGGTATTGACCTGATGTGTTGTTATAGGTTCAACTGATAGGAGCATGGGTTGGATATGGCAGAGTTGTGGAAGGAATAGATGCAGTGGGTGAGAGCTGTGTGCGGGGAAGGGGCTTGGAGAGCGTGATGGAACTTTCCTTGAGGTTTTTGTTGGGTGTTCAGTGAGAAGAACAGGGCCTCAATTTTTGACAGAACTCCTGCTTCACAAATATGGTACGTTGTTTCTGACAATTTCCCTCATTTCAAAGGACAGTCATAGCACAACAGGAGATGTGCTGGGAGAGAAAGTGAGACAAGGGCAGCTGGTAAGAGAGAAGAGGCGAGTAGTTCACAGGCTTGCAGAGAAGCAGACAGACCAGCATGCCCTCTTCCTGGCCCCATGGGAGGTGTGTGTGAGAACCTGCTGACTGTGAACCACTGTGGGAAAGTAGGGGGATGGGCCCAAGCAGCACCAGACTGGTTTACTCAAGAGTTTCGCAGTGGGAAACGTCTGCACTCTAAGGAGAGGCCAGTGCTGGGAATTGCTCTCTGTAACAGGCAGGCAGATCACAGGAAACCAGAGTTCATATCAGGCACGTATTTGTAACACTGTTGAAAACACAGTTTATGAATCAGACTCTTATCACCTATTTTTAAACTGAAGATTTCCCTAAATTGACAATTTTCTTCCCTTTCCCTGAAAAGTGCAAATCTCACGAGGTACAAAGTCCCCAGGTGCTGAC